CTTCTGCTACGCATTCGGGAGAAAAAACACAGTACAAAAAACAACAAAAACAATTTTCAGTGACTCTCAGATTTGGGGAAGTAGATCAGACACTGTACAGTCATTTTTTTTTTGTGTGTGTGTGTGTGTTTTTGGTATTGTTTTTTTTTGGTAGTGTTTTTGTTGTTTTTGTATGTGTTTTTCTTTTCTTGAGAATTTGGTTTGTCTTGATTTAGGAATACACGAACTATATAGGAGATGCCTAAAAGATTACTATCCCAAACCCAGGAAACCCCAAAATATCAATATCCTAAACCCAGGAAACACATAAAACATTAATACCCCAAACCATTCCCCCTCAATGTTGTGCCAGACACAGCTATTCTTGTGCAAGGGGACCTCGCAGAAACCGCATGGGTTTTTGTCGGCCTGGTTCCCCCCCGAAACCGAAATACCTCCATCGTGGAATATCGAGGCTTGATTTGTCTGTGCCCATACCGATGCAGCTTCTGCGACCCCAGATCTCAGGAATCCCTTGTGCAGAAGGGAGCCAAGAGAGGCTGCAGCTTCTGCAAAGAGTCATTAAGACCATTAGAATCATATGGACAACAATGCTGAAGGCATCAGGATTTTGACAAATGTTTCGCACTAGGGACTGGTCGTTCGAGTATTGAACGTGACTCGAAAGCTAGTTCACTTGCCATTCGCTTGCGCTTTGTGCGCCTGTATTCTTGTCTCCTGAAGGCTCGCTCTTCATCATTCGAACTGGGGTTGCTGTGGTCGAAGAGGTGACGTGCTTCAAGGTTGTGCAGTGCTGAGCCATCTTAGCCATGTGCAATGCCCAGAGGAAGCGCCTGTGGCACCCAAGCCGCGACCTGGGTTGCTCGCTCGACACGGCTCCAATTGAAGCGTTCTGAGGCCAAGGGATGACGAGTCCTCCGAGCTCAGTGGATCCACTGACAAGACAAAGCCACTGCCTTGCTGAAACTGGCCTGCTGGCCTTTCTTCCCTCATTGCTGGAGTCCCCAGAATTGTCCAAATCTTCAGGCATTATGAGCAATGGGAGATCGTGGGCAACCCAGCATCCTCCCTTGAGGGCTGTTTTCTGCTTCCACCCTTTCAGATGGCTTCTGTGCTGCGCAGGTAAATGCTGACGTGGTGCTCGGGCTTGTTGCCAAAGCTCCTCACACGGCCATTTCCCCACTTGATCGCCATTCTTCGCACACATCGAGCCCACCTGCAGGTAAGGGCTGATGACTTGATGGCCGTGGCAGAAATAGAGGAGAGCTGGGTAACAACCGCAAGTTGAATGCTGCCCAATTATCTTGCAGTTTGTTTTTTGTTCTCTTGCGTGATCCATGTGTGATTGCTTGGTGGCCCGTATTGGTGGATGCAAGTTCGTACGCATGTTTTACTCGCATGCTGCAGGACACAAAATTCATCGGTATCCTACGCTACTTTCCTTTGGAGGTTCCTCGGCCTCACCATGTACACCTGTTTGCTGCTGGTCGACAGAAGCCTGGGTGGTTCACCAAGGTTCCCAAGCTCATCCAGCGCTTGGAGGGGACACTGTGGCCGGAGGAGGTCTGAGAAGCTTCCCGCTGCCTCAAAAATGGGCAGATTTCACCAGGCCGAGCAACTTCCGTCCTTTCTCAACAACATGAGCCAATCCTTCTTCTCCCAGTTGACGCAGGTGAGAGACGTACATAATCCACATGAGTTTTTGCACGCTTTGAAGGCACACAGCCTTGCAGGAGTCTGAATGGCGGATGTACCTGCCGGAGTGCAACGTGGTAAGGCTCTGACTGGGCTGCTTGTGAGACACCCAATATCATGCACTGCCTCTTCTTATCGACCACTGCCTTATAGGCATGCATCGTCTAAGAACGGCTAGAACTGCCATGTTGCCAGGGATGACTTGTCACGACTAGCTTTCGGCCCCAAAGTGGTACTTGTACGATAAGGTTCCAGCAGTTGCGCATGAGCCTGTCCACAGAAGTAATTCAGCGACTTTGCTGAGCGGCGGGTAGGGCATGGTGTGCAGATTCGGATGGATAGGTTCAGACGAGGAACTTGCACTATGCTGTTCTTCTGCGGGAAACTTTTGCATCTTCTGTCTGACAGACTTCTCCTGTCAAGCAGCAGAAATTGAAATCAGCCTTCAAACGCAGCCTGACGATTGAATGACGAATGACATATTTAGAGAAAACTACCAATTCAGTCAACCTTTGCCTGAAAGATTTTATTTTTTTTTGAGAGGCAAGGCATGGAAGGCAGCGCTCTGTTGCTGCTTTGCTATGGTTACGCGCTTAGACAGTCCACAGAATCCGCAAAGTTGCCTGGTCATGAGGTAATTTTCAACTCAAGGCCGGGCCATTTGCGCGGTTGATGACGTCGTGCTGGGTCAGCCGCTGGTCGGCCACTCAGCTGGGGCCAGGCTCTTGCAAGAGGTCGGATCAGAATTTCAGTCGCGGAGTCATTTCAAATTCAGGCCCGTGGAGAGGTGGTTGGTCGCGCCAACTTCCTCGGGTTGAAGCCACGATATGCGGTGACGGCCGGGGCGGGGGCACAGACACTACAGACTCTGAGAACTAGTATGTTTGTATGTTTTCGTGAGAGCTGCTGCTAGAAATATGAATTTCGATTCCCTCGCTGGCCAGTAGGCTTGCAGTGTGACAGCGGATCTGGCAAGTTGTAGAGCTCAAACCGCTGGTCCTGGTCACCTGAAACGCCATTGCTAAGGCCTCTAGTACTTTGGTGTGCTACCCTGTTTTTCCATGTATTGGCAAAATTTTTGTGATAGGTCAAGACACAGACGGTGTGCCATTTCCGCCACGCACCTACAACGCACTCATGTACTTGGTCAGGAATGTACACTAGACTGGTCTGAGCTGTGCTCTGTTTCGGTCGCTTCCCTGGGCGAGTCTATGCTTGTGACAGATATTGAGGTGCTGACAGAATGAGACCTTGTATGCGCACGTTTCACGTGAGCGTGTCCTCATCTGTGCTGTCAAGCATGCTAGTATGGTAGACTACAACATAGTTTCCTTGTGACAAAAGCACTCCCCTGCATGAGCAGAGATCAATGTGTGATGCTTCTTTGACCAGCTGAGCCGGCATTGGCAATTCTGAGGAGTCATCACGCACGAGCAGCTTACGAGGTGCCGGCCGTCAGCACCTGCCATCATTGTGGAGCCTTTGCCGGCAGAGCCGCAAGACGAGTGTTTCTAGCTTATGCATCGTTCTCGGATGACGAGGGCGATTCGGTCAATATTATTCTATATTATTTTATCTCATGAAAAGACAGCGTTGGGCTCACTGCTGGCCAGGCTATTGATGTCGCAGCTCGCGCTGCGAGAGTGGTTCGAGCTAGCAAAGCTTCAGGCGCATATCGGATCCAGATTCTATTGCAGTACCCAAGGTGGGTCGAATCGTGCCTGTTCAGGTTCGCAATTTCACAGAATACGACCATGAGAGGCAGAAGGCCTGCCATCTGACAAGTGTCCTTGCGGAGGAAGGGGAGGACTCGGATGGACGGACGTGGCGTGATGGTATGCTGGTGCGGTTGGGGTCGTGTTGGTGGAGCTGATTTTGTTGGTGGTGAAGTGCAGCCGCTGCTGTTTGTGGTGTTGCTGCTGCTGCTGCAGCAGATTTGCTATGGGTAGCTGATGTAGCCGTGTCCGTTCAAGCAAGGTGATCATTCGTGATCGAATTGTCTCAGCTTCTACAAGCGACATATGAGGGTTGTCCGAAAACCCTTGTCTACAATTTTAGATTAACGAAAACCAAGAATAACACATTTTGTCAAAAACCTTGCGCGCGCAAGCTCCGCGCAAGCACGGCGCAAGGTTGGCGCAAGGGCTCGAAAACGCTCATGGTATTAGTTTTATAGTGTGATGAGCCTGTGCAAAAACCATTGTGAGCCAAACAGTGCGCGTGCAAGCTCCGCGCAAGCATGGCGCAAGCCCCCAATCCGAGATGAAGGAATATTGGACAACCCCCATACGTCCGCTAACTATGCTGCCTAGTTGCGGGCTGGTCAGCTCGACACGCAACCGCAAAGTGATCTTTCAGTGCTTCGCAAGCCAGGCACAGGCTGGGCTCAAGGGACCCACAGGGCCAAACCAAGCGGGCCGGCCCGCAGGTGAGGCGTGATGGCTTGTGTCGTGCCAGAGGGTTTGCACGGCAGAGCATGGCAACCAGGTGGCCTTGTGACAAAGACTGTCCCAGCTGTCAGCGCGCCTTTGACACCGTTGAGGAAAGAAGTCAGAAGCAAAAGAGGCAAACAGATGAGCGGAGAAAGCAACAACCCAGACTGCTGGATCCAAATGTTGCAAAGCACAGAAAGATCAGAAAGTGGAAAGCAAACCAGAAGAGGTAGTGGACCCCAGGCGAAAGACAGAAGGCGAGCAGGAAGCGCGTGGAAAAGCAGACAAAAAACTGGCTCTACTCAGAAGCTTTGCTCGAAACAAAAGCCAAAGTGAGGGTGTGGGGAGTCATCCGGGGTCTGAGCGTGCATGGCTTGTGCCGCGCACTGTGAATGGCCCAACGGCATTTTTGTGCGCAGTTACGAGTTAGTGAGGATGGTGTGACCGAGCCGAGTGGTGGCATGAACCCTGCTGGCATCCGCGAGAGACTGCTGGGATACTGTTGCCCAGGTCATTTTAATTAAGCCTGCAAAGGCGGCTCAAAATCTTCATGGCTGTCCACAGATGAATGTCTTGCTTCGGGAGTCTTGATTATGTCAAGGATTATTTGGAAGAAGCTCCGATCCACTCAGGGGCGGTTTGTACTACGTACAGTGCTTCATGTGATTGACGCGTGTGAGCGAGTTATGATGCAACCCCAGGGACGCTTTTGTGAGGGACTTTGGTGCTTTGTGTGGCGAGTGCCTTGTGTGCTCATCGCTGCGCTTGGTGCTACAATCAAGGAGGAGTGGTTGAGCTTAAGCTCGCCACGAATGCATGGAATTCACTGTTCGCCTGACGGTCAAGCATAATGCAAAGCAAAGCAAAGGGTGTGGGAGTGCATGGTGCATCCTCGCACACCGCTACCATCCGGCATCGCTACCACAGAGTTACCATTGACATTATTTGACATTGCATTGACATGTTTGCAGTGATCATTGCCTTGCTTCAGCGGCTTCGAGGTCGAGGTATTCCGGGCCAAGCTGAGGCCGGATTGGGATTGTTCCAACCGCTCATTCCTGGTTTCCCTGTGCTGTCCAAGGCGGCGCACAGAGAGGGCCTGGCAAAAGCATGTTCGGTACCTGGTCCTAGGTTGCTGTTAATGCAAAGAGAGTTTTCGTTTTCAATCGAGCTACCTCTTCCAAATCGCAGGTTGAAGACGCACGCGCAGCTCGCGCTGCAAGGATGGCAGGCCAGGTTCAGATATGTCATGTCATGCACTGCATCTGCAGCGGCCTTCTCACTTGAACATTGGCATGGTCACTGATAAGATCTAGCTATGAGACCCGGGAGGTCTTGCTAGGCGCCCAGTCGGCTCGAAGGCTGGGGCTGAGCCTGTCCGCCAAACTTAAGCGAGATGGCCCGGGCTTTTCAGGCAACGCAGCTAGAACAGGGCGAGCACGAGGATGTCATCCACCGCAGGCGAGTAGCTAAGGACAAGGGGCAATAGCGCTGTCAGTGACGCTTAGCGGACGGAGCTGAACTTGCTTCGTATATGTATATATCTCTATACATATGTATAGTCGTACACATGCGCGCTCTTCCCCACTACAGGATGTATAGATTCTTCGTGTTGTGACCAGTATTTTCCTTGCCTTTGAAGCATCTTCAGGAACCTTCTCCAGAACTGGATGAACTGGGATGGATGTTTTGCCAAGTTCTGCAAGAACGGACTGCGTATCCCCAGGTCCGACATTTTCAGATCCGAGGAAGGAGGCCCGCAGTTGCATGGCAGTTGCATGAGGGAAGAGTTTTGCAGATGCCTCGTTGGAGGCGTGCATACGAAATATCACTCGCACCAGATTGCAAATGGAACAATCACTTCCATCTCCCATCTTAAATAGTTGGTACTCGCAGGAACATGGTCCGTGAGGTGGTGCCGATGATTCCAAATTTGAGTTGTTACTGCAAACTGCAAACCTTCCCTCTTGATCAGATCGCAAGTCAGTTGAGCATTTGGCATTGTCGATGCTTCCAGTCTGTAGGTTGTAGAGTGCAGTGCGCTGCCCAGTTGCTTGCGATGGCCTCGAAGCCTGTAAGCTACTGTGGCTGGATGTGGATGGAGGAATCTCGCACCCACCCATCAAACCACCCAGTACTGGCACTATATGGCTACCGCTCAGCATGATTAGTCCGGAACAAGGGACGCAGACATCCTGACCCAGACCCCGATCCAGAGGTCCGGA